AAGCCCTTTACAGAACAGGTTGTGGTAAATTCGGTCTCCCCATTAACACGCAAAGGTGTTTGTGGCTTTAACACTATGTTTATAGTAAAAAACTGTCTCCACTTCAGTATAGTTATAATCACAGTATTCAAAGCATTAATTTGTAGCCAGTCAGATCTCCTTTTAACCTGCCATGAGATAACAGACTTGCCTGTGGCAAGTGCAATGGCTTTACCACACTCTAAACTACAAAGGTTCTGCAAATATAACAGCTGCATGTCTTCTGATCGGTTATTTTGACAGGCATTTCTGTTATCAGGCAGGGGTGAAAGGGAGCATATAAAATGTCTCTGTAGCATCTCAACCTCTTTGACCCCAATTCTTACTTTATTGGTGTCAGAATTCCTTGATGCTTATTTAAAAGGTCAGTCCATCAAAAAACCTACACTCCAGCTTTTGGTAGTTGTAGAATAATTACATTATCCATCTTTTTATGTCTCAAAAAGACCTCTGTGGTGGGACCTCTACATTTCAGTTCCTGCTGTGAGAGTTATGGGGGGGGGGGGCAACCCATGCCCTAGGATTCTTAATGGTGTGTACAAGGGAAACATGAAACAAACATTCAAAGCGTGCAGAAACATAGCCAGAAACTGCTAGGGTTTCCAAGAAGACAATGGATGATTCCAACCACCACACTGCACTTATAGTTAAAATTTACATCTGGATGGATTGGCTTGTTAATGCATAAAAACCCATTGGTCTAACTGTTTTCCAAAGCAGTTACATTCAAGCCATGCCATGAATGATAATCGTCACAGTTCCTCGTGCTTTCAACCAAAATGTCAAGTCATCAAATGGTTAGTGTCATAACTGGTGACATGTACAGCACCATATCAACCAAACCACTCTCTTCGATCCTCCCAAGACCTACTGCTCTCTAGTTCCCGTGTCACCTCCTCCCATGCTCGCCTCCAGGGCTTCTCCCGAGCTTCTCCCATCCTATGGAACTCCCTACCCCAATCTGTCCGGCTGTCTCCTAATCTATCCACCTTTAGACGATCCCTGAAAACCTTTCTCTTTAACCTTTTCGCGCCTTTAAGAGTTTCAGAAGCTGGGAGGCTAGGCGGGTTTTAGGGTCATGTGACCGCAATAATTTGCTGTCACATGATCGGAAAAGTTCCCGATCGAAAGTGGAGATTGGGACCTTTCCCGGAGTCGCGGACACATGTGCTAGGAGCGCGCAGGGCGTGTGCTCTCAGCACATATGTAATTTGTAATTGCACGCAAATATGCGGCCGCTCAGCATCAATGCCCAGACGTAGAGAGGCCGCATATTTGCGTGCGCTCGGCGTCAAGGGGTTAAAGAAGCCTATCCTGCTTCTACCTAGTAAACCACCATTTATTTCCTCCATCAGCTCATCTCCCCACAGCTATTACCTTTTGTATCACTCAACCCTTCCTCCTATATTGTAAGCTCTAATGAGCAGGGCGCTTTACAAAATGAAGGTAGACATTACAGTTACAATACAATTTGCTACAAGAGGAATCAGAAGGCCCTGCTTGTTAGAAAAAAAAAAAGATAAATAAATAAATATTAAAAAAGATGAAAAAATAAAGAAAAAATACCTAGATAAAGGATTGATCTAGTGCAGTGCCAGGGTTAGTGTTTGGGACAAGGTCAGGGTCAAAGGTCAGGATTTAAAAAAAAAAATTTGGTACCAGTGTCAGTTAGTGTCAATGTCAGTGTCAGTGTGTTTTAGGGAAAAAAAAAAAGACAAAACAAAATGCGCATTATTGTTTCTGGGCTGTACTACGGGGACAAACAACAAATAACATACACATATGTGGTATTACTCCGATCCTCAAGAGCTGTAGAATTTATTAAGTGTTCTTGCATGGCAAGACCACTTACTGTTATCTCACATATATATTCTTATTATTATAGCCAAATTTACCACCCTAACTCCTCCCACAGTTTTTACACTACATAGACAGTAATATACCGAAACGTGCAGATTGTTCCTGATTGCTGTGCTATTACTTTGTGGAACGTTTCTCCGAATGGTTCCCGAAATATCGGCGTTTTTGTGGTGAAATTGGTCCCATAGGAATGAATGGTGGAATGTTCAAACCTAGAGTGGGAGCTGACAAAAGCTAGAGTGTGAGCTGAAAAATCAGGACATGATTTCTAAACTGCCATCACTCCCTCATTGTCAAGCCCACCTACACAAATCTTATATCAAAACGTTCAGCTATCCCTGCTGCCACTAAAAAATGTCCACGGCTAAGCCATAGTCCTGATAGTTTTCACAATATGACCATTTGTTTGCAACTCACGCCACCCATTGACATTCATTGAAACTCCACTCTAGCCACCTCAAATTTGAAGGGCAATTTCTAAACTGCGACTGTGCCTTCATTTTGAATATTTCAGAGACATACAATGCATCAAAATGTAGGTCTGGGTCTTGTGATTCTCACAATATAAAGCTCTTTGGTGTAGAATTTATAATTTTTAATCTACAACTGTTTGAAGATGGCAACTGCCAGTGAAGTAAGCAAGTTGGAGCAGTTTGTTTTTAACTGCTCTTCTCTGCCCTTGCTGTAGAGTGAGTTGCCATAGGAACCCAGGTGTGTGAGCAGCCAGCAGAGTGAGAAAAGCTAGAGTGTGAGTTGTAGACTACTGGTGGAGGCAAGAACACTTCACACAATTTCCCCATAAATTGTAGCTTTTCTAGTTTTGAGTTGTTGTTTGGTGGTAGGTTATGGTAGTAACAAGAAACACACAGCTAAATTTAAATAAAATTATTTTTTTTTTTACTATTTTGGGCCAGTTTTCCTTTGATAATAAAAAAAAATCAGGAGATATCCATTACCATTTATCACCAAATGAAATCCCAATTTTTCCTGAAAAAAACAAGGTATAATTCACCTGGATGTACAAAGTAGTTGTGATGATATGTATGGTTTTACTAACATGTCAACGTTGCAAATATGTGCTTAGTCATTTAGATTTGTTTTACCCTTAGGCATGAAGGGGCTAATCACCACTGAGGTTTTTATTTTTTAATAAATTAGCAAAAAAAATTTGAAAAAAAAACACGTTTCTTTGCTTCTGTTATAAAAGTGTGCAAATAAATAATTGTTCTTCATAAATTTAGGCCAAGATGTATTCTGCTACATTTCTTTGGTGAAAATAACCCAAATCAGTATTTATTATTTAGTCTGTAGGAAAGTTATAAAGTTCACAAACTATGGGATATATCTGAAAATTGATCAATCCTGAAGTAGTGACAGCCAATCTAATTTTTTGAGGCCCAAAAATGTCAGAAAAGTACAGATATCCTCCAAATGACCCCTTTTTGCAAAGTAGACAGTCCGATGTACTTCATAACAGGCATGGTGAGTTTTTTGAAGTTGTAATTTTTTTGTCATAATTTTTCAGAAAATGAAGAAATTAAAAAAATAATTTTCACATTTTTTTCCATACTGTCACCAGTGCAGTACAGTGTCATTATATAACTGGTGTGGTGGTGATCAGGTACACTGACTGGTGACAGTACAAAAAACAAAAGATAATTTTTTAAAATTTTGTTTATTTGTTTATTATTTTTTTGATTTTTTTATTACATTTTTCTCTTTTTTTTAAGGTTGTTTTTCATATTACAGTATGACCAAAGTAGTATAATGTTACCATAGTCTGGGGAAGTGATCAATATTTTTTTTTGTTTGTTACACAATTTGATTGCTTATAGCAAAGAAATTATTTGCTATAAGCAAACATTTAACTGAATGAAATCAATTAATTCAGATTTTTTTGTTTTGATTAGCTGTGATTGCCCACGGCTAATCACATGACACAGATGAGCTGTGACTGGCCCAGCCTGTGCATGTGATCACTGTGACCATTCACAGCTAGACACACTTGTATACAATGGCTGGCATGAAAGGAAGCCATCCATTGTATACAACTGTCATGTGACCTGCTGTGATTGGTCACAGCAGGTCACATGGTACTGGCAATGGGACTTGTACACAGATCTGTCAATGGCATGGCTGAAGTACACAGCCGGTGACAGATCTCGCCAGAGCGGGGCCCTGTGGGCACGTGCAAAGCGCAATCGGGGAAGGGCGTCATATGACGCCCTGCCGGAGGGATGAGAAGTAGTTAAAAAGAGGCCAATGTGGCAGCTTCCTTGGTTGCAAAGGATAGGTGGGTTAATTTCAATCTAAGACATTGGTGTTGGTAGACACAGATGACTGTGGGAGAATTACAGCTGCAAAGGTAGTGTTACCTAAGCAGTGCTAATCGGTTCTTTGATTTTTATCACACAAATTTTCACAATTTAACCTAGCATCACTTCATCCTTTACCGAAAGAAAAAAAGTATATACAAAAAATACATATTTGATCCCCTTCAGATTTTGCAAGTGTGTCCACATACAAAGAAACGAAGGGTCTATAATTTTTTATCATAGGTGTTTTTTAATTGATAGACAGAATATCAACTAAAAATCCAGAAAAAACAAATATTAAATTGAGTTGCAGTTCAGTGAGTAAAATAAGTACCGTATTTTTCGCTCCAAAAGATGCACTTTTTCCCCCCCCCCCAAAAAATGGGGGAAAATGTCTGTGCGTTTTATGCAGCAAATATGGAGCGGCCTGTCCGGTATTCCCGCCACCACCACCGTGTTAGAATACCGGGTTGGCCGCGAAGAACCTGATCCTCAGTCCTACCTGTTCCTTGGTCCATCGGTGTCCTGTTTTCCCTGGCCGTCTTCTCTCCCCAGCACCGGCATCTTCAGTGTGGGCACCCGGCTGTGACAGCTTGCGGCTTCACAGCCGGGTGCCCACTGCGCATCAAGAGAAGCGCTGCGCTTTGTGAATGGCCACCTGTAGTCTTCTGGGACCTGTCACATGTCCCACAAACCTACGGGGAGGGTAACTCAGTGGAAGTGGGAGCGGGTACTTGTCAAATTTGGATACCCGCCCCCCCCCCCCGCTCCCCAAAGGTCTGCAGTCTCTGTTCATCTCCTGTACTATGTCCACAGTCTGTGGTCATCTCCTGTACTACGTCCACAGTCTGTGGTCATCTCCTGTAGTATGTCCGCAGTCTCTGTTCATCTCCTGTACTATGTCCGCAGCCTCTGGTCATCTCCTGTAGTATGTCCTCAGTCTCTGTTCATCTCCTGTACTATGTCCGCAGCCTCTGGTCATCTCCTGTAGTATGTCCTCAGTCTCTGTTCATCTCCTGTACTATGTCCGCAGCCTCTGGTCATCTCCTGTAGTATGTCCGCAGTCTCTGTTCATCTCCTGTACTATGTCCGCAGTCTCTAGTCATCTCCTGTACTATGTCTGCAGTCTCTGGTCATCTCCTGTACTATGTCTGCAGTCTCTGGTCATCTCCTGTATTATGTCCGCAGTCTTTGGTCATCTCCTGTACTATGTCTGCAGTCTCTGGTCATCTCCTGTATTATGTCCGCAGTCTCTGGCCATTTCCTGGTCCACTCTTCCTTACAGATCATTTCTAAATCCTTAAGGTTTCTTGGCTGTCGCTTGGCAACATAAAGTTTCTGCTCCCTCCATAAATTTTCTGTAAGATTAAGGTCTGGAGACTGGCTAGGCCACTCCAAGACCTTAATGTGCTTCTTCTTGAGCCATTCCTTTGTTGCTTTGGCGGTATGTTTTGGATCATTGTCATGCTGGAAGACCCATCCACGACCCATCTTCAGTGTCCTGGGAAGAAGGTTCTCATCCAAGATTTTACAGCACTTGGCTTCTGAATGCGGCAAAGTCAACCTGTACCTTTAGCAGAGAAACAGCCCCAAAGCACAATGTTTCCACCTGCATGCTTGACTATGGGGATGGTGTTCTTAGGGTCATAGTCAGCATTTTTCTTCCTCCAAACATGGTGAGTCAAGTTAATGCCAAAGAGCTCAATTTTGATCTCATCTGACCACAGCACTTTCTTCCAATCCTTCTCTGAATCATTTAGATGTTCATTGGCAAACTTCAGACGGGTCTTTACATGTGCCTTCTGGAGGAGGGGGACCTTGCGGGCGCTGAAGGATTTCAATGCATGGCAGCGTATCACGTTACCGATGGTTTATTTAGTGACTGTGGTCCCAACTGCCTCCACAAGCTCCTCCTGTGAAGGTCTGGGCCGATCCTCCACTTTTCTCATGAATATCCTTACCCCATGAGGTGAAATCTTTCATAGAGCTCCAGACCGAGGGCGATTGATAGTTATTTTGTATTTCTTCCATTTGCAAATAATCGCTCCAACAGTTGTCTCCTTCTCAACAAACTTCTTGCTGATGGTCTTGTAGCCCATTCCAGCCTTGTGCAGGCCTACAATCTTGTCCCTGATGTCCTTTTGACAGCTCTTTGTTCTTGCCCATAATGATGGTGATTTTTGAATGGAAGAAAGAGATTCTGTAGACAGATGTCTTTTATACACATAATGAGTTGTCGTTAGGAGCACCTTTTAAATTGACAGGACTAATCTGTATATCACATGAGCACATAGCCAGTCTGTGGGAGGCACAATTATTGTTGGTTGGAAGGAGATCAAATACTTATTTTACTCACTAAACTGCAACTCAATTTATAACATTTGTATCATATTTTTGGGGGATTTTTTCTGGATTACTTGGCCCAAACAAATGCTATGATCTTGGAATGTAGAAATGACTAATTCTACCAAAAGGACACTTTACTAAAAAGTTATTTTATGGTATGGGTTTTGTGATGAACAGTTTCAGAAATAGTGGTGAACATCTACTGCAGCCCTGTCAAATGCATTGCTGTAACTGTACTGTAGATAACATAATGATCAAATATAAATAAAAGGAAAGTATAGCATAATTTTAGAGAGCACAAATTTCTAGTTATTTTTGCAGTGTTCACCTTAAGGTAGTTTTTGGTGTGACATTTTTACATGCTTGCTGTTACATATTTTTGGTATTGTATTAAATGTAAACATTTGTAGAAAAGCCACCTGGGGCAAGGTAAATTAGCTAATACAATACCTGTATAAAACGACTATTAAAGTGGTTCTAAGGGCAAAAGATTTTTACCTTAATGCATTCTTTGTATTAAGGTTAAAAAACCTTCTCCATGGAGCTCCCCTGGTGCTCCACCCCTCTCCTATATCTACTTACCCCCAATTTTGAACCAGTGATGTGCATGAGAGAAGCAGCTCTCTTGGCTCTCTCTGTCTCCTCAGTGGACACAGGGGCAGCAGCAAGAGCCTTTGGCTCCTACTGACTGTCAATCACAGTCAGTGAGTAGACAGTGTGTGTGTGTGGGTGGGAGAGCCGCACTCTGTGTGCCAATGAAGTCAGGAGCGAGCACACACAAGTGCCCTCTGTAGCAAGAGGCTTGTTATGAGGGCATTTGGCAGGGGGAAGGGGCAGAAGCACCGGCGGGGGACCCCAAAAGAGGAGGATCAGGGCTGCTCTGTGCAAAACCATAGCACAGAGCAGGTAAGTATGATATGGTTGTTATTTTTTTAAAAAATAGCTTTTAGAATCACTTTAAGGCAAAGCTGTTGATACAGCTGAACAAGATGGGATCAATGGCAACATCTTCATCAGAGGGGTCCCATTTACTAGAGGATCAAGGAGAGAAACATATAATGGAGTTTATTGATACCTCATACACACAATACATAAAAAATATCAATTCATTACAAAGTCCTTAAAATCAGTAATACAAAATTAAAAATAAAAAAAATTTAAAAATTCAATATCAGAAGCAGTTTGCCTAAAGGGATCTTAATATTGTATAGTAGCAAGACCCCAACTAATAGGTGTCAAGATACTGTATATAGCAGCAATGGGCAAACTACGGCCCGGCGGACCTTTTAATCCGGTCCGCGGAGCGTGATTGTCAGGGCTCCAAGGTGTGACCAGAGGTGTGTGACTGACGCAGGGAAACGCAGACTTCAGATATGTGATAAACAATATAATTTATTAACACTAACAATACAAACATAAACGCAGTGCAATACTAAACATAATACAGTGCAAACAAACCAACCAACCACCCACAGATAACAGTACATACAAGCAAGCGTCGTCAGGCAGGCCGGGTCAATATCAATTGGGCAGGTAGGTACAGGGGGAGCAAGCGGAGAATGGTCGGGGTCACAGGCCAGGTTCAGCAGGTAGCAAGCAGCGTAGTACAGAGGGTCAGGCAGAGGGATGGTCAGGGTCACAAGCCAGGGATCAGAACAGGTAGCAAGCAGCGTAGTACAGAGGGTCAGGCAGAGGGATGGTCAGGAGCGAGCCGGGATCAGAGCAGGAGAAGTCAGCAGCGGTTCAGATCAGGCAGGGTCAGCAAAGGAACAGAAACAGGATGCAGGACAGATACAGGGCCCAGGACAAACACAACACCAAGGCAGAGTCTTGTCCCATCCCTTAAATACCCCAGCATAATCAGTTCCAGGTGTTAGCTGGCTGAAACACCGGGCAGGACTCCGGGCAGCGGCACACCGGGCAGGACTCCGGGCAGCGGCACACCGGGCAGGGGCACACCGGGCAGAGGCACATTGGGCAAAGGCACACCGGGCAGAGGCACATCGGGCAGGACTCCGGGCAGAGAGGCACATCGGGCTGGACTCCGGGCAGAGGCACATCGGGCTGGAGTCCGGGCAGAGGCACATCGGGCTGGACTCCGGGCAGAGGCACATCGGGCTGGACTCCGGGCAGAGGCACATCGGGCAGGACTCCGGGCAGAGGCACATCGGGCAGGACTCCGGGCAGAGGCACATCGGGCAGGGGACTCCGGGCAGAGGCACATCGGGCTGGACTCCCGGGCAGAGGCACATCGGGCCGGACTCCGGGCAGAGGCACATCGGGCAGGACCCCGGGCAGAGGCACATCGGGCCGGACTCCGAGCAGAGGCACATCGGGCCGACTCCGGGCAGAGGCACATCGGATTACCAGGCGAAGCAGCAGGCAGCGGGCCACCAGGCGGAGCAGCAGGCAGCGGGCCCCCGGGGCGGAGCAGCAGGCAGCGGGCCCCCGGGCGGAGCAGCAGGCAGCGGGCCCCCGGGCGGAGCAGCAGGCAGCGGGCCCCCGGGCGGGGGCGACAGGCATCGGGCCCCCGGGCGGGGCGACAGGCATCGGGCCCCCGGGCGGGGCGACAGGCATCGAGTCCCCAGGCGGGGCGACCGGCATCGGGCCCCCCAGGCAGAGGGGCAACAGGCGTCGGGCCCCCAGGAGGGGCGACAGGCGCCGGACCCCCCAGATGGAGCGACAGGTCTCGGGCCCTCAGGCGGAGTGGCGGGTGCTGGACCCCCAGGTGGAGCGACAGGTCTCGGGGCCCTCAGGCGGAGCGGCGGGCGCCGGACCCCCAGGTGGAGCGACGGGTCTCGGGCCCCCAGGCGGAGCGACAGGTCTCGGGCCCTCAGGCGGAGCGGCGGGCGCCGGACCCCCAGATGGAGCGACAGGTCTCGGGCCCTCAGGCGGAGCGGCGGGCGCCGGACCCCCAGGTGAGCAACAGGTCTGGGCCCTCAGGGCGGAGCGGCGGGCGCCGGACCCCCCCAGGTGGAGCGACAGGTCTCGGGCCCTCAGGCGGAGCGGCGGGCGCCGGACCCCCAGGTGGAGCGACAGGCATCGGGCCCCCAGGCGGGGCAACAGGCATCGGGCCCTCCGGCGGGGCAACAGGCATCGGGCCCCCAGCGGGGCAACAGGGGGCAGGACTCCGGGCAGAGGCACATCGGGCAGGACTCCGGGCAGAGGCACATCGGGCAGGACTCCGGGCAGAGGCACATCGGGCTGGACTCCGCAGAGGCACATTCGGGCTGGACTCCGGGCAGAGGCACATCGGGCAGGACCCCGGCAGAGGCACATCGGGCCGGACTCCGGGCAGAGCACATCGAGCCGGACTTCCCGGGCAGAGGCACATACATCGGATTACCAGGCGAAGCAGCAGGCAGCGGGCCACCAGGCGGAGCAGCAGGCAGCGGGCCCCCGGGCAGAGCAGCAGGCAGCGGGCCCCCTGGCGGAGCAGCAGCAGCGGGCCCCCGGGCGGAAGGCAGCAGGCAGCGGGCCCCCGGGCGGCAGCAGCAGGCACCGGGCCCCCGGGCGTAGAGCAGCAGGCACCGGGCCCCCGGGCGGGGCGACAGGCAACCGGGCCCCCGGGCGGGGCTACAGGCAATCGGGCCCCCGGGCGGGGCGACAGGCATCGGTCCCCAGGCGGGGCCGACCGGCATCGGCCCCCCAGGCAAGAGGGGCAACAGGCGTCGGGCCCCCAGGAGGGGTGACAGGCGCCGGACCCCCCAGATGGAGCGACAGGTCACGGCCCTCAGGCGGAGTGGCGGGTGCCGGACCCCCAGGTGGAGCGACAGGGTCTCTCGGGCCCTCCAGGCGGAGCGGCGGGCGCCGGACCCCCAGGTGGAGCGACGGGTCATCGGCCCCCCAGGCGGATGCGAAACAGGTCTCGGGCCTCAGGCGGGGAAGGGGGCGCCGGACCCC